GATAGCCCCAAGCAGTTATTTCTAAACAGAAAATAAATGCACAAATGGATATTCAATCAACATTTCATTTCCTCATTTCTCACATGAGTGGGTTAATGCCTCATGATGAGATTGTGAACGGGCCCTCGATGGTATCTCTAACAGCTGAATAACATAATAAAATATGAATATATGTACAAAGATATACATGTCTATGTGTGTATGAATTGAAAGTAACAAGAAAGAATATATTTCACAATGCATAAATGTATAGTACCTCATGCTCAAACGAATCATAGGATTCAGTGTCACTGCCATCTTCAGCCTCTGACAGTCGATAATCATCGTCATTTTCCTCAATTGGTATTTGTTTTTCCTTCCTTAATTTCTTATGTTGAACCGCAGCCTTCAAACAGGTTGTTATATTCTTCACTCCTAGAGCATTCATTCTCTCATGATTGTTATTAATTGTCTTCATTCTTTGTTTCTCATAGTTCATTACCTTCTTAGTTGCGGTACTTGGTTTGGTCAACTAAGAAGGTAATGAACTATGAGAAACAAAGAATGAAGACAATTAATAACAATCATGAGAGAATGAATGCTCTAGGAGTGAAGAATATAACAACCTGTTTGAAGGCTGCGGTTCAACATAAGAAATTAAGGAAGGAAAAACAAATACCAAATGAGGAAAATGACGATGATTATCGACTGTCAGAGGCTGAAGATGGCAGTGACACTGAATCCTATGATTCGTTTGAGCGTGAGGTACTATACATTTATGCATTGTGAAATATATTTTGTCTTGTTACTTTCAATTCATACACACATAGATATGTATATCTTTGTACATATATTCATATTTTATTATGTTATTCAGCTGTTAGAGATACCATCGAGAGCCCAGGGAGGAGTATGCAAGAAACCACTCACCGAAGGATGTTGATCCTACCAAGTGGATAGATCTTATTGATAAAAAGTGGAACACTAAAGAATTTCTGATAACATTTTCATCTTTTTTATTATATCAGCGAAGAAAGAATTTGATTAGAATAGGGAGAGATTTAAAAAAAACTAGAAAGAACTCAATCAATTTGCTGTGAAATTCCGTGTGTGTTCTTTTTCCCTTATCCTCTAGGCATGTAAGTAAAACATAATAAAAACTAAATAAGTGGCAAAATGAGAAAGGGAAACTATTATACATGGATTGGAAGGCTCACATAATATGAGATTAATTTATGGTTCCTTAAAGTGCATCTTTCACATCATAGAATAAAGAACTAGGATTTCAGTTTCTATGATTGTATTTTCTGTTTGTTCTTGAGTTTGGTCTGAAGTTTCATGATAATGGTAAGCAACTAGCTGAGTAACTAATACAGGGTATTAAGATAGAACTTTAGATTTGATATAGTTGTGGAAGAAAGAAAGAGATATGAGTTTGGTATCAGTAATTGTTCCATATCTTGTGAAATATAAATGGATTTTTTCACAATCTATCCTGCCCATGCTTATATGTCCCCTATTTGTGAACGGTGTGAATTACTCGTTTTTCTTTTTTCACCTAGAAAAAACCATCTTATGATGAAATCTTAACAAGTCCTCTAATCTATTTTTCAAAGAATTGAATGAAACTAGTGAATAATTTGAAACATCTTTTAAGTTGAAATGATATATAGGAAAAGGATAGATATGAACAATGCAATTCTTTATTATCAAGCATTAAATTTGTTTTATTAGTGATACATTTCATTGTTATGTTTGTTCATTCTTCCTTACAGGAACAATCAAAAGCCAACATATTTGTCTTACTAATGATACATTTCATTATTATATTGGTCATTCTTTCTTATAGGAGCAATCAAAGGGTAACATCGCGAACAGAGAAATAATGTATACAAAACACAGGTGTGGTTCTAGGTCAATCCTTATTAGAGTAGAAAAACCAGTACGTATCCTTGCACTTTAAGAATTAAATGGACCAATATAAGTTGTATGAACTTACGGCACATTAATGGGATGCACCATTTGTGAATTAGCCTTAAAATTAATTTTTTGTTCTCATAATCTCGAAAAAAAAGTCTGTTAGAGGGGTAAATTGTATAATTGATCTAATTGTAAATTGATGAGTTACTAATGTTTTTAATCTTTTGTATAATTAATTAATTACTAAAGCTTTTAATTTATTTTTTTGCAGATTGGATTGGGGTGGCATTTTTGACGTGCAACAATGATGTAATTTGCTTGAATGTTCATTTTTGTTTGATAAGGATACACATACTTTGTGGAGTTGCACTAGTTATTGTTGGATTTTTGGTAGAATTGAACAAGTTGTAACTTTTGGATATTTTGTGGATATTTCACTATTTTATTGTATTGGGATGAAATTATTTGTGATGATGAATGGATATTTTCATTTTGTTAATTCGTAAATGTGTTGATAACATGTTAGGTTAAGTTGTTATGAAATTGTTATATTCAACAGGTTTTAACATGAACAGGGTTATATTTGTTGAACTAAAATTTATATTTTGATAAATTAGGTATATAATATGGAAAAAAATATTATAGAAATACTGACAAAATTTTTCATCCCTAAAGAAGGTTTTTTTTGTCTCTTATTTGGCTTAGGTGAATGATTAATTTTGTCATAAAATATTATAGAATTACTGACAAAAATTTTCATCCCTAAAGAAGGTTTTTTTTGTCTCTTATTTGGCTTAGGTGAATGATTAATTTTGTCATGAATTCTTTATTTCGTCGCTAAATGAATTTGTCATGACAAAAAATATTGTCACATTTTGCAATTAGTACCCTCAATGTGTGACGAATTTTTTTTGACATTATTTCATCATTTTTAATGATGAATTTGTTTTTGTCTCTATTGGTAGCTTCTTTGATAAAAATTTTTTGTCTTTGTTTATATTAAACGTGACAAAATTATTGTCTCCATTTCTTATATTTATGACAAAATAATTGTCTCTAATTTCTCCTTTAATAACAAAATATTTTGTCGCTAATTACTTACAAGTATGTTCCCAACAGAGTATTGAAGACAAAAAAATTCGTCACAAATTTATCATTTTTAATGATGAATTTGTTTTTGTCTCTATTGGTTGCTTCTTTGACAAAAAATTTTCGTCTTCGTTTATATTAAACGTGAAAAAATTATTTCATCTCTAATTTCTTCCTTCAATGACAAAATATTTTGTCGCTAATTACTTACAAGTATGTTCCCAACAGAGCGTATTCGAGACAAAAAAATTCGTTACAAATTTATCATTTTCAATGACGAAATTGTTTTTTCGTCTCTAAGACCCTTTAGCGACGAGGCTTTGGCGACAAAACGGGTGACGAAAAATTTTTGTCGTAGTTAGTTTGGGTGACGAAATATATACATTTTGGGACAAATTTGTTTCGTCTTTAAATCCCAAATTTGTTGTAGTGAAATGTTGAGAGACGACATGGCGCCTCACCCTCAGTCGTCGTTATAGGTGGTAGCGATCCCGGGTTTACCCTTGTTGTATAGTGATCCGGACATGTGTCCGTGGATGTTGGTAGTTGCTTATTATCTGGCGTTACATAGGTGGTGGTTTTGCCATTATGGCAGCTGCTCAGGCCCTTCATGATGCTTCATTTTAAGTATTTGTTATAGTTATTTAACCGAAAGTAGTATGCATTCATCTTATATATTTATAATGCTGAATGATTGTTAATATGATGGATAGCCAAATACCTTTTTATGGTGGTTCAAATTCTGTACACATTTATCGGCATCTAGTATTTAAGAAATTTTCGTTGCATGTATTAAGGACTGTTAACCGAGCATATCTTTTCTGTAAACTTTTGTCATTTCTTTTCTTTTCTTTTTGAATTTCATTTGAAGGTTTGAAACTAATATCCCGAGGCAATATTGTGCAAAGCATTAGGTGTTCCTTCATTGCTTGGTTTGCTGTATACATGTAATTTTAATCTGGATTTTAAAGATACTTTAACATTGGTTTTTTTTTTTTTTAATTTGAAGTTATAGTGCATAATGTGATGAATTGATAGCAATCTTTTGTATTTTTTTTTGTTTTTCTTTTTGAGATTAACTTTTATCCTTATAATTTAGTTGACAAAAATTGGGTTATTCAGGTTACTTGTTAAATGCGTAACATCATTTTTTTTTTTTAATCTTTAGCAGGAAAAAATGAACTCCTTGGAGTTGATGGCAAGTATGACAAAATGTCAAGCTTTCAAGGGACACAATCAGGTCATATTGAACTTGTGGAATTCAATTTCCTGACCATGCAAAATTTGAATTCTCTTCCTGGAGACTCCAAATATTTGACTAATTGATTTACGATTTGTAGTTATGCTTTTTGGATGTTTAAAGTTGTAGTTTAGAGATTAGTGAATCTTATGATTTAGATTCTTTTCTTGGTTTGTATGTTTGAAGTTGTTATCAACTTGATACGATAAAAGTTGAGGACGGAAGTTAGTATGCAAGTTGTTTGGTGTATGGATATTAGATTTTTTTGCTTACTTCATAGTTGCTGCTTCTGCTTTGTTTTGTTCACAGGTTGCATTTTATAAGCTACTGTTTACATACTGTTAGACAATGTTATATTCTTGTATATATATTATATATTAAAAATAACTTTCTACGACATATAAAATTATGTCATGAAAAGTGTAATGATTTATGACATGCAAGAAAATGCCATAAAAGATTATATACGACATACAAAGTATGACATAAATATATTAAAAATGACCTTCTATGGCATAGAAAATTATGTCGTGAAAAGTGATGATTTATGACATGCAAGAAAATGCCGCAAAATATTATATACGGCATACAAAGTATGCCATAAATATATTAAAAATACCCTTCTACGACATGCAAAATTATGCCATAGAAGGTATGATGATTTATGGCATGACAAAAATGTCGTAAAAAATTACATACGACATACAAAGTATGTCATTAATGTTCAATTTATTACTTTTTACAACTTTACCTGCATGTCGTAAATGACGCTCAACTTTTCACGGCATGTAATATAACAACATTTATGTGCATGTTGTGAAAGAGTTTTTACGACATGCACTGCAAGCCGTAAAAATTCAATTTTGTTGTAGTGATTTTTTCTATAAATCATGAACATCTTTGCCAAGAAACCTACAGCCAAAGGTTTGTGCCCTAGTTTTCTTCTTCCTAATTTATAATTCATATCAATTACACGAATGTATTCATTCAATAAGAACGGTTTAGATTCAATTACTCAAAATTCTTCCTTATTTGCTTGTATATTGACTTGGCTATCTTGAACCTTATATAGAAAGATTTGTTATGTTTCTGTGTTGTTTGATTGTCTTGGTGCACAATAGCGTGTTTGTTTCATGTAAAATCTGTGCATAACATTATATTACTCTATTAGTTTTATTTGTTCTATGAATATTCTATTGCCTAGGGAAAAACAACATAAGTCTAAGATCTGAATAGTGAATAGTAATCAAGCATTCTTACTTGTTGATTCATATGTAGAAAGTAGCTATTTGGGCCATTTTGGAAAGTTGGCAATGCTTTGCTATCTTACAATCTTAGTACTGACCATCTTAATTCAATGGCAAGATCACAATTTTTTTCATGCTTTTGCTTTTAGATGAAATGGAAAGACCTAAAATGAAAATGATGTCTAATTAGGTGAAGGATCATCTTTAGTTATAATGAACATTAACCATAAATTTGTTTCTAGATTAGGTTACCCTCAAATTTGCTGCATGATTTTTTAAATCTCAACCCCATGCCATTACTATTTCGATTCTTCCACTTCAATCTAGAAACAAAAGATGAGCCTCGAAGAAAATCTGTTTGTGATTTTTGGTCGTTTGCAACTCTCAGACACTTCCGATGATTCTTCAAACATTTTAGTATTTTAGGTAGGCAGTCAGGGAGGTAACAGGTGTCCATGGACTATGATTGCCATTCTCAAGTTTCCATTTCTCTTCTACCCCATATGTTTTTCTGTTTTCTATGCAAATCTCGGGTAGGATTTCTTTCAGAACAGATGTAGCTTTTGTATCTGGAACTGGCTTAAAAGATTCAAGACTTAAAGAATGTCTCAGCAGGCTTACAGGTATCTTCTATCAAGTTCTGTGCATGTTTCCTTTATCTTGATTGTGTACATTATGTTTATAAGATTACAAGTGTCTCATTCTTTATGAAACTTTCTTATAAGTAATACTGGTATAACTTATCAGATGCACAAGAAAACAAGCTACTTGTGGTATTGCCAAACAAGAAAGACTGCAGAATTAGATTTGAGGTAAATAACCTTTTTTCATTGAAAAGAGGCAACCAAAAAATTTTAGCAATATGCTAGGAAGTCATGAAATCTAGAGGATTGGATTACATGAAAAACTTTACTTACATTTTTTAAATAACTTGGTGGACAAGTTCAGTGAGGTCGGGAAAAGATCAACTTAATAGACAAAGGAGAGTAAACGAGCATGCTAATAAAAAGAGGGGGAGAAGAGACAACTTTGGGAATGATTGTTGTCTAAAAAGATCTAGAATAAAAACTTCAAAGAATTGTTACAGAGATGGGATTCAGGTCAATTCATAACGTTCATTAATTTGATTTAGTAGAGGAAATAGAAGAGTGAAGTTGTTAACACCGCTAAAAGAAGTGAGTGGCGTAGTGTAGTCATTCTCACGGGAGGGTGCGGAGATAAGATGGGTGTGCTGTGATCAAGATTTTAAGTCAATAGAAAATGTGATGATGTTAATGTCATTGACAAGAACTCAGCATAATGGCACCATTTTCCTGACCACGTATCCCAGTCCTCCGACCAAATTTCCCTGTTTATTTTAAATTTAAATATTTATTGAACTTTTTTCTCTTTGGGGAATTAAAATATCTTCTCAATGTAGGATCATATTCCTTTTGCATAAACAAGTTGAACCCCCCTTCCCAAAGTTATATTTCTTTTTTTGGTACGCAATATTACAATCCTTTTTGTATAGACACATTGACTTATACCCCAATTTCTTGTAACTTTTTTTTTTTGTTTATTTTCAATAGTACAAGCTCTTTTTTTCAGCTTTGTAAGTTGTGATAATTTTGCTTCATACTTTTGGGTACCTTACTGACCAGGCAGCTAGATGAGAAAGAAAAAGAATTTGATGACAAATTAAAAAACTGCTTTAATTTGACTGATGAGGTATCCATTCATATGAAATCCTTATATTTTTTGTCATCGTTTTTTGAAATCAAATAACTGTATGCAGAATTTTTAGGATCATGGCATGTCTTTGATAGTTTTGTTGCAAGTAACATGTCACTTTAAGCCTAGTCACATTGGTGATTGCAAGAAAATTATACATTTCTTAAGATAC